AACTCTGAGCTATTAGCTAAGTTCTCCCCAAACGAGCTTGATGGGCCGAATGGCCTCCTCTCGTTTGTAAATTTCTTATGTTCTTATGTTCTTAAGAAGCTATTAAATATTACATTTAATAGTAAACTAGACCTTTAATAATTGAGGGGAAAAATGTGGCATTATGCTATTATTTACGTATTAATTAACCACAAATTAATGAATTGTCACACATCTTTTATCTCAAGCAAGTACTATATTTCTTACTATATCTAATTATGTAAATCTTAGTGAACTACTGAAGGAACAAGTCATGAATAACAAATGAAATACTGATCTCATGTTTATTCATAATTAATATATTGTGACACATCTTTCAGCTTAAGTAGCGACTGTATTTGTTCATGATTTGTACTTCAGTAGTAACTGAGTATTTGTGTCCCCTCAAGTAAAGTGTTACCAAACTTACAGTATTATACAACAAAGCACAAAAATGACCATTAAACTCAGTATAGTTTAAATATTTTGGCTGCTAATATATTCAAAGACTAGGAACAGGAAACCATTAATCAGTCAGATTAGTTCACTCTACCCTTCATATTAAGGGGGGAAATGAATGAAATATTTAAGAAGCACTTTTTTGCCAGAAATATTTTTCACCAAGAATCCGAAAAGATTCTCTAAGAGATACATCAAACTGAGGTCGAATTTCAGTCAACAGATCTCTGGGGCCCCATTAATGTAAGGTACAGTTAGTGTGAAAATCAGGCTTGAGAAACGTTAAGAGAGAGAGCTAGGAGAAGGCAGGTGTGAAAGCTTGATGTGTCTAAATGCGTAATTCCTTCTACTCACAGTTGAACATGTGCACCTCCTTGCCGAAGTACTCGTCTTCTGTGTCTCCAGAGGGCGACTCCAGGGATTGGTGAGCAAGCTCATCGCTGTAGGCCACCGTACTGTTGTAGGTGGACATGACATCGTCGGGGATTGCCTGGTGCCCCCCCTCGGCCTGCTCTGGCTCCTTGGCCATCCGCAGCTTGCTGAGGATCTGCCCCCGAATGGCCTCTATGCGTTTCTTCCTCACATGGTTCATGTCCAGGGTCTTGCAGGTGGAGATGGCGTGGCTCTGGCACACACTGCCTAGCAACCACAGCAATGCTAGCATCCAGCAGCTGGCTTTCATGGTAACTGGTCTACGGCAGATGTGCCCTCTGAACTGAGGAACGCTCCGCGCTCAGGAGGGTGAGATAATGACAGCTGATCTTCCGTTAGCGTAGAAACACACTGGCACTTTTTAAGCACCCCCCCCTCCCACCCTGCCTCGCTGCCTGTGGCAGCTCTCAGCTCGTACCGACGCCTCTTTGACCTCTGCTATTTCCTCTATTACCAGCCAGGAGGTGCTGACCTGTGCTGATGGCAAACTGCGGGACTACACGCAAAGTCTGGAGGAGCGGGAGCCCGGTCACGGACCGGCGACTTGCTCGCTAATCACCGCCCGCGGAACCCTTGCCGGTCACTGAGTCACTGTCTCACTGGCACGATGCCTCGCCGATTTGACTCATGCAGCGCTCTCCAGAGGGCGTCTCTGGAGTGCAGCGTGGGGCCGCATAACAAAGTTAAAGGAAACAAGATCTCTCTGAAATCCTCCGCGTGCTCATGCTTTTCAGACTGGACAAGGGGTGGGACACACTGCTTTTTCCTGCCTACTCCCCCCCCCCAAAACCCCCAAAAAACTTCAAAGCAGCCTCACAGTCATCTTCCCCCCAGTGAGCAGAAAATGTGCAGCTCAGTCCTGCAAAACTTACCGCACTTGCTGACTCCTTCCAGGAAAGCCCATTTACAAAATTACGGATCTCACAGAGGCGCAATCTGACAGAATGACTCACCACGCGCCCCACTGGGACTGACTATTACCCCCTAACCAGCGAGTATACGTCTCTCGAGATCTTGTTGCTCCTTATGTACATTTCAGCACATCTAGAAAACATTTAGAATAATGTTATTACATTTATCCTAATACCTCTTGTACCCTGAACTTTTTACTTTCATTGGAAAGATAAGAAAATTTTAAACAAAGCTTGGTGATATCTGTATGTCCTCCCAGTATGTCCTCACAGAATATTTAACCTAAGATAATCAGATGGTAAGATGACTGGTAGAGATTTTTGACCGTATGCACACAAAAGCACCACTCCAAGGATGGAAAATCAGTTTAAAAAGTACAATAAGCAAAATCAAGAAAGATGAACTATCATTACAAAACACATCCCATGCTAGATAATGCCTATATTTGCAAATACGATTTATGATGTTAACGCAGTATCCAGGAACAGGGTTCCAAGATCAGCATGTGGGATTCCTAGACCTCTGGAGCACTGTTTCTCAAAAGCAGAACATTAAACTGAAAAGTGAGGAATACCCCTAAATCATCACAGCCAGAATCCTCAGTAGACTTACAACCGTTCCCCGAGTCGTCTTTGACATGCCTTGAGCCATACAAAACTGGAATGAAAACGAAAACAGCACGGGTGATCTAGAACAGAAAGGCACCCAGCTTAAAGTGATGTTTTAAGAACAAAAGCGAGTCCAGACGCCTTCAAGTCCATCTTTTAAAAGAGATGTCCACGAAACGTTAAGGAGTGGTCTGAAACTGCCGGAATGGATCTGACTCTTGTCATCAAGTCTCTGCCTGGTCTGACTTTGCAGTCGCTTCGCTGTAAGGCTGTCTTCTCACTATTGCACTCTTTCACTCAGTATCAGAGCGCACTCTCCTCAGAGTGCCGGCACTCCTGCACCTTAACATCGACCTCTTAGCAGTCCCTACTAGTCAGAGCTTGCTAGTGACAAAATGATTTGTGTGAGCTCTCTGCTGTATAACAGCCCCCCCCCCCCCCAACCCCCCCCGCCGCTGCATATTCCCTCCTTCTTTACCGCCTTTTTTCTCGCTCGTTCCTTAGTGCAGTGAAAAGCTCTCCGCCCAGGAAATGAAGCTCAGAAAGTTTCCAAACATCTGCAGTTTGAAGGGGCGCTGCTGTTTGCTCTCTGTCCACTGCGCTCAGTGGGAGCTGCGGACCGGCTTACACAATTAACTCCGGTAAAAACCTTACAAAAGGATTGACTTGATAATGACCACTGGATACTGTCTGATCACAACATTCATTCTTTGATTGATAAAGAAACTGACACATTTAATTCTGACTGAATGATTGGGCAAAAAATAAAGACACTCCACCTCACAGCCCATGTAACATACACAGAAAAAAGAAAAAGAAGCATTTCCAAAACTGAAGAAACTTCTTGTATCCGTGTTTACAAAATTAAATACTTTCTTTCAATTATCAGACTAAAAATACGTGTGTCTCAGGTATGTTTCCACTAAAGGAAGTCTCTCACGCTTACTGTCTGCATTTAATAACCTCTCAAACATAAAGAGGCATAAGCTAGATAAAGTGATAAAGTAATAAAACCACAGGCACACGGATCAATGTAAAAAGCATTTAATAAAGTTATGAAAAACAGTTTTTTAAAACAAAGCGAAACACAAGGCCAAATTCAATCGCATACATGTATGAAAATACAAAATAACACTGTAAAAAAAAGACTATTAATATTACATAATAAATTGAGGATTCCTTTCAGATTTTTTATGATAGGCAGAAAACAGTAAGGGGGTTTAAAAAAAAAAAGAGTACATGCTGCCCCCTTGTGTTAAAACAGCACAATATTCTTGAGGAGCATTTTACTCATCGACTGTCTGTAAATCTTTGACAAAAAATTTGAATGACCTCAAGAAACCAGAGATCAATCGAGGCAGATGTGCTTGAAAGGCAGTGACAGCCCCACCCATTTGCCACTCTGTTGTACTGCCTTCCTCCCATCCAGCAGTTACTGATCCTGCCATGTCCCTCGCCGTCTTCCTCTGCATTCAGCTCTCCACGCCGTATTTGTCAAAGTTCCGCAGAATAATGCCGAGCTCCAGCTCCACCGTGCCCGCCGCCCCCGTATGGAGCCGGTAGCGGTCAGCCCCACTGTAGATGACGTCCGGGAACCGCAGCTGGGGCCCCCCGCCCACGAAGCTTTGTGCCAGCTGCTCCTGCCAGGATCCGAGCGGCCTCCAGGTGGCGCAGCGCAGCCGGTGGTGCCCGGGGCTGGAAGGCACATGGCAGTAGCCGTAGCCGGAGAGTTCACAGCGACCGAACGAGTCCTGGTGCCAGACCTGCAGGTGCAGTTTGGGCCAGCCTTTAGGGGGCAGAAAAAAACAGCGGAATATAAGAATATCAATATAAAAATCCATCATTTTTATTTAAAATTTCAGGTAATTAACAGGAACATATACTGTAACTGCCTACTTTTTATTTTAGGGTTTGTTCTGCTGTATTATGTGAACTTTAATTGTCATAAAAACTGACCAAGTATCTCCTACTGTAAGAAGGGAGATTACACTTTTTCATTTTTTTTCCCCTTTTTCTCACTAAATTTATTTTCTAATTATTAGTATTTATTAAGTATCTAGCTTTTCACTAAGGCTCTTTCACCTTGCAGCCCCTTGGTGGCGTAGTGCAGGTCGATGGGGTGACTCCAAAAGGCCACGTCCGAGGTCTGGGGAGAGTCCACCTGGGTCTGGCCCTCCCTCAGACCTGAAAGGAGCCTCCAAGCTCCTCCTGAAAGAGAGGCAGCCATCAGAAACCCTCACACCAGTGTACACAGAGCCAGAGGCAGACAGACACAGCACCTGTGTGAATTCCCCATTTGCAGAGCAGGCAGCCGTCAGAAACCCTCACACCAGTGTACACAGAGCCAGAAGCAAACAGACACAGCACCTGTGTGAATTCCCCATTTGCAGAACAGGCTGCTGTGAGGGAAACCACTGGCGCCTACGATTTGTCCAATTATGTGGAGCTCAGCCATCCTGTGGAAGAAACAGTGACAGGATTTAGGCATCGATGCCAATAAGATGAAATAAATTTTTATGTCTGCATGTTAATTTGGCTACTGAACTGCTGTAATACTGAACCTCCCCCCTTGAACTCTGGTCCTTCTACAGTCACTTTAAAAACAAACCAATCACCTTAAACTTACCTTTTTGCACAAATGAAGGAATGTCTAAATCAGGGGTGGCCGATCCAACCCAGAAAGGGCCGGTGTGTGTGCGGGTTTTTGCTGCAGCTCCCTAATTAGATTACTAATTAGAGGACTGATTGGCTGAACGGTCCTCACACCTGGATTTGAACAGCTGACCTAATGGTTAAGAACCTGCATACAGACTGGCCCTTTGAGAATAAGATTGGCCACCCCTGGTAAATACATATACTAAATATTTCTGTAAGTACTTCAAATGCTAAACACTGTCTACTATGCACCTTACTATTTTATTTCACTATTTACTACTTCTTCCATTTTATTACTTTACTTTATTCTCCTTAAGTGAAAACCTAAATGTTATTTTACTGCTAAATGGTATTTTACTGTGCAAACCTTAAGGTGGCTCTGGGCCCATGAAATTTCATTTTAGGTAATGATGTTCCATTGTTATCTGTATATGACAAACTTGAAACTTGATATTTCCATTCGGGTCATTCCATATCAAATCATCACACTTTCAGAACTCGTCGTCAAGTTTCGTTAAAATCCGTTACGATTAGGTCCGAAAGTGTGATTATTTGACATGGAATGACTCTCATTCTTCACTCTTTATGTTTTTTTTGTTCCTGTCTGGATTATATGTTTGATTGTGTACCACATGCCACCAACCGCACCAAACCAAATTCCTCGTACTTTTCGTACTTGGCGAATAAAATGATTCTGATGCTGATGTTTACAGGATACCTGAATACGTCCAATACGTATAAAAATTCACTCCGCAATTTCTTCTCCTTCACAATATAACCCATTTTTTTTTCAATTGTCTAATAATAAGTTGGCGAAAGGCATCTAAAAGGGTTCCGTTAGGTGGAATTATCAGTCTAATTTAAATGCTTAAGTCGGGGTTAGTCGTATTTATTATCCAGCACTAGTTATATAGATAAACTGCAATGACTAGCAAAGTATATAACGCCACACTCAGAAGAATGCATGAAACACTATTCGATTTGTTCTGATATTTACTTGTTCTGCTCGCAACGTTTCATATCTCTAGCATGATAAATATAAATACTAAACTGCTTAGAATGAACGATCAGTTCATTGAAGTTAAACCGTTAAAGTTAGCTAATGTGCTATAATACACACGAATAAAATGCCTCGTGTGTTTATTTTGCAATGCAAACGGGAAAATGAATAAAACATACCGCGCGGTGCAGGAGAACCAGAAGCTGTATTCTGATGTATTAGTACCAGATAATCTTATTTACAGTGATTTATCATCACCAAGGCCAAACGGTGACATAAAACGGAGCCACTTCCTTAGCAACCCCTCGTCAACCGCTCCTTATTGGTGGTGTTCATCACGTGATTCAACAGTCCGTTTCCTTTCCAGGAAGTTATTACAGCTTTGTTTCGACAGGGGGCGTGTTGTTTAAATTCTAATATTCATAAAACCGCTGTAAAATACTATTTCAAGCAATTAAAAATAGCTGTCTTCACACAGTCTAACTCAATAAGACGGCAAAAATTAACCAGAGCTACCTAGGTATAATGACATAATGAACGATTAGTAATACAAGCATTGTTTGTTAATAGTTTATTTTGTATTACATGGGCAAATAACAGGTTTTAGCTGTTTTACTGTCTTTTCAGCTTCACAATAGGTGCTTTCACTGTGTCATGGAGCTCCTTACCTGTCTTAAAGATAGTTAGTGTATGTTTGCTTGTACTAAGAATGAGACTAAAAACAGTTAAGTTTGCGCATGTGCCTAGGATGCAGCTATAATCTCATGATATCACAGCAAAGTATACATTGACAGAAAACACAACTGAAACACAAAAATGCACATAAAAACATTTATGCCCTCATGACACACTCAGCTACTTAATTGATCTGGAGTTTAAAGTTTGCAGTTTCGTCTTTCTTGTGAGCTTTTGGTTATCATACTGAACAACATCAAAAAACGTAAAATGAGCATTCCCTTATTCCTAGCAGACGGTGTACTGGATAAGGGGCTGGACTTGTGACTTAAGAGTTATTCCATGAAATCACAGAAGAAAAGTTCTCCAACAAAGATGATGACCTGGACAGTCTCCATTCTTAATTGCTAGTGGACTTAGACTTTACATATCCCAGATCTCCATTATAAATAACAAACTAACATCATAAATAACTGATTAGTGCATTCACTTCAGCATAAAGGAGTTCACGAGTAACACAAATCGATAGAATACAAGGACATAAGATGTGGAAAAAACAGGTTCTGATGGGTACATGCTGATTGTCAGCTCAGTAGAGCACAAACAACAAAATGTGGCATCTTAATATCAAAAATTATGATCCTTTCAAAATATTTGGAAAAATCTGTGGTAAAATTTACTGTAAATGTTTGGAAAGAGTATGAGATTTTCATTTATGTATTTATTTATGCGCTTTAAATGCTTTGGTGTAGGTTCTTCTAGAATGCAAATCCCCCACAATCAAACCCATCAAAGTCCGAGTTCCCCTCGAAATCGAAACTGTGATAGTGTGCCGATTCGCCAGCCTGGCTGCAGTTGTGGAAGGTGCCCCCCGTACCCAGGTCAAAGAAGCCCACCGCGGAGGGCAGGTTGGTGGTTCTAGCATCGTGGATGCAGGGGGAGCAGGTCCCCAGGTAGCCGAGCGCTGAGGATGTGGCCGCCCCTCCCATGAGCAGGTATACGGCCCTGACGCCGTGCACGTCGCTGCTGGTGCCGTGCCGCAAACAACTGGCCGAGCGCTGAGGAGATGCCGTCTTCATGCTCTGGGCTTGTGAAGACCGCATGCCTGCATGAGTGGCAGGAAGATGGACAATTAAAGCACAGAAAGTGTGACCCAGACTCAGGGCTGACCTGCTCTTTATGCAGGTTTTCATTTGAGTTAATCACTTAATTGCCTAAGCACAGGGTCCCCCCTGCTTTCTGTGAGTGGAGTTTGCCTCGGTTCTCTCTGGGGACCCAGTTTTTCACTTGTAGACTAAATATGGAATCAGGGGAAGTGGCTTCTCTGAACCTGCCCCTTTCACCTGAGGGATCGACTATGCCCCCCTTTTGAAGTTCTGTGTGCCTTTTATTGATCACTGAATGTCACCAACTTAGTAAACTGCAACTCGGTCAAATTTGCCCCCTGCCCCTTCAGGGGGAGAAGGAGGTTGCGTAGATCACATTTGAGGACCAAAATGTCCTCAAAGTGCAGTAAAACCTGAAATTTCCTTCCTTTTCGGGACATTTTTTGGGTTACTATTTATATAACCTCAATTTAATAAAAAATCTGTGATCTGTGATCATGTAGTTTGGTTACTTATGATTAAGGTTAGGGCTGGGTATTGCCTAACTAATTTTGTTTTATTTAACACTTCTGTACTGGTGGTTGTTCTTATGCTGTGACCTGTGGGAAGCATTGTTAGATTAGATTAGTCCATCAGTGTCTTGGACATCGCATTGCACTCAGAATCTCAGAGAAACAGCCGCGAAGAAATACAGTGTCACAAAAACTACAAAAAACTCCACATTACCATTGAGTGACATTGACTTCTTACCTCCTTTGCATTTAGGAACATCTTTATCACGCTGCCCAGGTTCTAAGGGCTTCTTGCATGGGTTTAAGTGCTCTTTGTCCTTGACATGGTCAGGATAAGGGTCTCTGTCCGTTATGCAAGAGGTCGAACCCCGATGGCGTTTGCAGTTGTACTGAGGGGATGAGAGACACTGCAAAAGAATAATATGGATGACTGTCTGGGAGGTTCAGATTCTCAATTAGAGCAAAATCATTTTAACACGACCCAGTTTGCTTGCAGTAGGTTTAATATGAGCTCACCTCTCTCACCTTCCTCATAATGTTCAGCCAGTGGCTGTGAAGAGATGGCAACAAGGTCAACATTTCTGCTGTTATCATCAAGCACTTTGTGAGGGCAGAATACGTGTTCCCATTTGCTAGAAATGCATTTTCCCCAACCCCCCTGCAAACTCGCCCCTCTTGCCACGCACCTACAGTCACTAGGATTCTCTGCCAATAGCAGCAGAAACTTTTTCTGGGGTAGAATCAAAGCAAAACTGCAGTCCCTACGGCCGGTGTTGGGCAATCGAGGCAAGTCTAGGATTTCCCCGCCCTTGACGATGGCCTCGCAGCCTCCGTGCAGCGACACCACCTGGTCAGGAGGAGAATCAACATCGCGACACACCAGCAGGTTGCCGTCTGCTGTCAGCACGATGTACCTCTCTTTCCACTGTTTGAACATGAAGCCACCTAGGCGAGAGGACACAGGCATAGATAAGACTGAAAAACAGCGTTACCTTAATACTGTCATTATATTAATGGTGACAGAAAAATGGTTCAGAGCTGGCTGTAGATTAAACTATAAGCACTGTCTGTCATTTGGGATTAGCAAATGAGTAAACAGAGTGGATCTGGGGACTAGACAGTCTAATGCAGGTGAGTACACAGAGTAATCTAAATTAACAGAGGCAAACGGCATCCTTGTAAGCAGGCTACCAGCTGTGGATGAAAGCACCCTCTGTCCCCGTACTCCAAACCACAGGTCCTGATAATCGAAACTGGTCACTGTTGCCAACAGTGATTTTCATTTTCATAAGTGAGGCACAGTCTTAATGCTATAATCAAGCGAAACCTATTGACAATCAACTTCTCATCTGCCATACAGAATTTGCATGATAACCTGAGCTGTAAAAATGTGTCAGAGCTTGTCCTCAAAAGGCTTTTCTGTTGCTCTGCGAGAGCTGATCAAATCCAGCATCCGCCGAAGGCTTGTTTAAGCCCCGATTTGGGATGCCTGTTCGTCTCGGTTCATTTTTGGCCAGTTCAAGGGCAAACGGTCACATTCTCAGAGGCATTTGAAATACCTTTTAAAAACATATCATGGTTTGTAATTTAACAACATTGCTTGAATGCCTAAGCAAAAACAGCGAAAGTTAAAAGGCAACACTGGATGTTCTGGATGTTTCACATGCCTGTATTTTTCAGTGTATAAGTGATTCCAATTTTTAAGTTTTACTCCACAGTACTGCTCAAAAAAGCTGTTTATATAGAGCATGACAACCTTTGTAAAAGAATGTAAAAATTCCATTGAACTTTCAGTGGAGTGTCGTTTAGCAAGGACAAAACTGCATGAAATCTGTCTTCACAAATGTTTTGGAATCAGACGACAAATGCAGAAATCCATTATAATAAAATTGAAATTAATGTAATCTTATTAATAAAATGCACCCCAATAAGTAAAAACAGATAACCACTACCTGGGAGAATTGAGATCCTTACCATACTTTCTGAGAAAACCAGAGTGTATTCCAGAAACGCTCATGCTAGCAGCCAATCTCCATCAGAGACGAAGAAACGGGAGATGGATCTGCAGGAAAGACTGTTGGTACAGTTAGTGTGTTTGTGACAGTGTGTATGAGAGAGGGAGATATGCAGATTTCCAGTGGTGCACATGTGCAGTACAGTAATCCCCGCTCAGCTGGACCCCCCCCCCCCCCCATCTCAATCCCCGGGGCACCAGCTCATCTTGTCCTCAAAGCAAAAGTGAGGCAGCATTCATATCAGCTCTGAATCAGGTAGAAGCACAGTCATAATCACCACAGTGAATGTAAATCTGCCAGGATCCTCGAAAACAACATTTTATGTGAAACATTTTGCACAATACTCCATAAATGAATCACAAGATTGTGGCATATTTTTGCAGTTTAGCTTCATTGTTGTTGTGCTACTTTTCTTTCAGTTCTATGACCGTTAGTAGAGCATACATTTTTCAGAACACCGCTGCATTTTTCGTATGCACTCTATTCGACGCATGGTAGGCCTGCAGTCTATTAACCGTGCCTCACATGCGTAATGTGACCCTAGAACTGTCCCATCTAGGATTCATACATATGAATGCTCCCACATTGGCCTTTCAGAAAGGCCAGGACAAACACACGTTCACACTTTCATACCTGCCTGCTCACATGAGCACTACGACACGGCACCCTAGCAGGAACACTCCAGGAGAAACTGGGCCAGAGGCCTCATGATCTCCTAACCTGCAGTTAGTAGGACACAGGGCTGTCTGCTTTCCCACTTTAGAACAGCCAGAATAGAAGGTCTGATCCCTTTTTAAATCCTCTGTACCCGACATGATCTCTGACAATCTGCTCCACACCATTAATGATGCTTCATTCCTTCTACGAATTGCATACTATTGTATTTTTCCCAGAGAAGAGATACAGGAAAAGCATGCAGATTTTAGAATATTGCTATGCGTTATTTCTAATGAAAATAGCTAGATCCCATTTCAAAGAACCAATTAGATAATATGTATGGATTTTCTTGTAAATTCCATTGATGCCTCTTTTTGACTTTATAGCTTTGCAGATCAATAGCAATTTAACAAAGGAAAACAGTATCAAAATGTACAAAAATGTAACACCAAGCTAACACATATCTGAGCATAGACTTCTGTTTTGTCTCAAAGTTGACACGTTCTTTTGTGTAACCTTGTGAGATCATTTATAAAACATTGAAATACTGAACTGGTAGAAGCTGAGAGACCAGATTCAAGAACTTTATTGTTATTGTGCAAGCACAACGGAATCGCAATCAATCACAATGATGCCAACCTCAAATGCAGCATTTATGTTTAAAATATCACACATATATATATAAAAAATAAGCAAGAAATATAAAATATCAGCGCTGTAAAAATAAAAAATCTAAGCAATAAAAAGACAAATCAGTAATATTGCATATAATTCAAAAATTGCAACACTAAGACATAATTACAAACATATAAAGACAGTACATGGCATTATTTGTTTAATTCTCTTAATACATTGCGCAAATACTTGATTTTGACATGCATCTACTATGGAGCTATTCTGTTGCGATACCATTGACAACCACAGGGAGACAGTTTTACCCACTTATTCACAGCCCTTCAACACAGGCGATCACATTTCCAAAGTATACACTGCTTTTTTACTGACAGATTTTTTTTTCCACCCGCAAACCGTTAGAATTCTAACCACACCCAGGAGGAGTATGCCGGTGGTTGGAACATCTGAGCAGGCAGCGGGACGCACCGAAAGCACAGTATTCAGTTGTGCTGGTGCACCTCCTTCACTCCAAGACAAGCGGCCAAAGGTGCGTATATCTAGTTTGATGTTTGATGTGTAAATGCACATAGCGGGAAATATAAACCACCACTGCTGGTATCCGTGTACTGTATAGGGATGCGATGGTTACATATCTCTGTTGCTTCTTACCTGGATTCTTTCCAGGTAAGAAGGTGACCATTCAGAAGACTGTTGGCAGTGGCCATTCAGCTATCTAACGAGGTCATGGTCTGAAATATAAAAGAAAGCGACCTTAAGATCTCGGTAGATTAGCAAGTGCCCGATCCAAAGCAAATACTGCATAAGCAGCCCTCTCTCTTACACTGCCAGTAACGGCGTCTTTTTTAGCTTCGCCCGCCCTTGTGTCCATGTGAGCCAAGAGCAGCGCTTGTACTGAAAGACGGCAACATTGAAACTTTTCCGTGCTTATTCTGTTTATCGAGATATCCTGGACAAGTCTGCAAAGGACAGCATTACTCTGCCCAAACACCCATCCTTCATTAACAAATCATAACAAATAAGCAGCCCAATTTTATACACAGATTACATACAGATCTGTTCCTCTTCGTTTTAGTGAAATGACCCAAAATCTGCATCCCTAGTTAAGCTACATCATTATACCATGAAATGCAGTAAACAATGGAAAGCATGCATCACACGCGCACTGGCGCGTCAACCTCGTGTCCCCGTGAATGGTCTCGCTTAGCTTGTGCACCTCACACTACCTGCACGAGCCACCAGTTATTTCCTATAAAGTAACTTTATCAGAAATATGATAAATATAAAACAACACTAATACTTCCAGGACGTACTTGTCATAATCTCTTCCGAAAAGAAGTGCATATATTTCATGTATATTTTTTTCTTAAAAAAAAAAACAAGTTAACGATTCATCTTACAAAATAAATTATCTTTAAGTACTACTGGAAAACTGGTAAATAATTAGGCCTACACGTTGTAAGGGTTTCTTCTGATTTTAAACGCGAAAAGAAGGGAGAGAAAGAGGAGGGAGAAGGGGAGGAGAGAGAATGGGGAAAAGGTTGGATAAGTAATTCGAGTGAAGGCTGAAGAAGCCGTCATAATAAACTGGCAAGGCGGCATAACGGAAATACAGACTGGGCATCGACAATGGAACCGGAGTGACATGAGAAAACTGACTATAGCATTTCAAAAGACGTTTCTTTCTGACGAAAAAAAGACATGCACAGACTACGCGATATTTTTGTCTTAGAAAATTTTTTTTATTTTTTAAAAACAAATTTGTTTTAATAAGTTGCTTACATTTAAGAAAGTTGAACAGTGTACTCGAAGCTCACTTTTTAGTCACTTTTTTATTTTAATGTATAATTTTGAGAATAAGCATTTTGTGGGACGGACTTGGAACATGTTTGATGTAACTTCACTTAACTGACAGTTTTTTTTCTCCTGAAAGACATCTTATTAGCAGTTATATATTATTTGGCACTCATTTCGGTTTTTTTTTTTAACTGAGCTGGCTTGTGACGGTGAATACAGCATTTATTGTGCTTCAGCTTAAGCTGTTTTCGTACGAAGCTGGGGGAGTCTAGCATTATGAGATAGTACCGAGTCACCCTTAAGACAGAAATGCCATCGCCCTTAAAAACAGCCCGAAAAGTGAATCAAACAAGTCTGATCCAAGCAAGGACTATGAGCGACGGACTGCGCTCTTATCTGCTATTGATTGCCTCCTTAACTTGGTTGCGAATCGGCAGCACTGATTCTTCGCCTGGTAAGTAAAAGCCTATTGAAACTTTAATGACAGTTGTATTATTTGCCCGTTACTGACTTCTATCTTTCCTTTTCCTCTTTTCATCATGTGTTATAGAATGTAGTGAATTGTTCGTCGCAGTTGTTACTAATAATATTTCTTTACACTATACAACTTAATTAATGATTTATTTGGCACGAAAATCAAGGGGGGAGTCCTGACCAGTTATACCAAAATACATTAGGTCCACAGTGTAGGCATGTTACATCTGTGTTTCCCCGAAAACGCCTAAAATGAAATGTAATGATAAATTTCCAAAATAAAGAACTTTCACAACAAGTGGGTAATTTGAATTGGGATGAAATACTGGTCCATTGAAAATGTCTTTTGAAAGTGACTGCTATGTCAGTTTACTCATTGCTATTCATTATGATAGTGTCCCACATTGTCAGATGAGCCGTTCATGGAAATAAATGCATGGACAACATGCTCAATATATTTCTGATGTCCAGTTGATGACCATTGGAAGAGGAAACGTAGGAACAGTTCCTACAGCATGCAGGTGGCATTCTGAAAGGCGAATGCAGGTGCGAACCATTCCGGACCTTTTGACGCCCATCTTAGCCAGATGTAGTACTGGATTGTTTCGAGTCTGAGACAATGTAGACAGGAGACGGCAACAGTGATGTGGCAAACCTGAGGGCAAGTATGGAATGTGAGCAAGGGTGTAACTTCGGATTGAACATTGAGGGGGTTGAGGTCCCCGCCCAATGACAATATGATTATTTGGGGGGGTTGTATTGACCGGTTCTGATTATTGGGAGGGTTACAATCCCCCCATAATTTACCCCCATGATTGTAAGTTTTTTGGGTTTTTTTTGAACAGCATGACTGCTCATGACTGTTAGGAGATGGTCAGTGTACTGTACAAAGCTCTGGACAGAAGCACAAACGGGAGACAGGACCTTGTGAAACATGGGAGTGAGGCGGTCCATTGATAGGATGGGGGTGCAGTAGAAGTGTGGAGGTGTCTAAGGGAGGCACCAACATCTGGGAGTATCGCACTGGAAGGCTGTCAACAATCACCACCTTTTTTATTGAACTGAGATGCAAAATTACCTTCAATGAGAAATGACGGCTTGTAAGGGAAGACATGGTAACAAGTGCTGTACGTTGTTAGCCGAAGATAAAAGTTTGTTCTGAGAATAAAGACAAGCACAGTATAAAGGAAAAGTTACGAATGGCCAGCTGGAATGGTCCTCTTCCTAACCTCATGTTGTTATACACCACTATTTTGAAGGTTTCTGGGTCTTTAAGTGTTTTTAAGAGTGAGAGCACTGGACAAAGGTGCATACTTCAAACATCAGATGAACTACGTTCCTCTCATTGGAACTTGAACTGCCTTCTATAACTATCTTTGGGATATGAAAAACAATTTCTTTTAACATAAAAGATGAATGATGTATATGAATACACCTCAGTTTAAACAGTTACAGAATACAATGTACGGCACAATGTAAGGCAATAAAAAAGACATTATTATTATAAATAGTATGCTGTTAATGTCTAATTAGGCTTATGCATGTAACAATATGACACCTGCTGTCTTTGGCTTTCAAAGTCAATTTGTCCAACCAAAACAGAGTTCAGTGTTTTAAATCATAAATATGGATTTATAGTCATCACACATTTGTTTGTATGTGTATAAAAATGTCACAGAAAAAAAAAAAAATCTGCAGGGAGAAGTGAAAGGTCACTGTGAAACAGGAGGGGATGGGGGCAGTGGGAGGGGTCATGACTGGGGGGGGGGATTAAGCTGCCAAGAGGTGAAGGAAGCATTAAACTTTAAGTATCCATTCCTTTCAGCATTTTTATTAATGTTTGGGCAAATAGCAAACAATCTTGTCTGTTTAGTGTGTCTTGCCTGCATTTCAGTTAGTGAAAGAGAGAGAGAAAGAAAAAAGAAAGAAAGAAAGAAAGGACATTTTGGATTTTTCCGGGTACTTAAAAGAAAGAAAAAAAAGTCCTCAACACATATTACAGAACCCTGTTGTGCCTATAAATTTTGACTTGAGTTACACACAGGGACAGAAATACAAAACTAGAATCAAAATGTATCTTATATATAGGTAGATTACAGTACTATTGGGTGAGTACAATTATGATGACAATGAATGTGAACTTAGGGACATCATTACAAACGGAGTTCGTCTATCCCTCATCAGCACACAACAGGTACCTTGCTTAAAACAAATGAATTCCAAATTCATCAGTTTTGATTTTAATGTCCTAGGGCACATTCTGCTGAACTGAAGAACATTCAAGACATTTTTCCCTTATGTCCTGTTCTGTAAAAATGGATTAAGAATATATGTTTTTGCTTTTGTATTACGTCAGCAATTCATTTAAGGTTACTTGGACAGCAGATGTCTAATTAGATTTTATGTTGTTTACATGCACCTGGATGATTGTATTTGATCTTTTTTAATCAGTTACAAAGCATTGGCAAGACTACATACGCTGCCAATTAAGTCTTTAGGACTGGGTTTATGGGGACATGAGCTGGTTTGGGAAGCTAGGGGGAGTTAGTTGGCAGTGAATAATGGCTAAGCGTTCAGTCTGTGAATGAGTAGGCTGGTACAAACTTTCAGCGGCTCATTGTGAGTCAACATTGAGTATGTCCCGATAGACAAAATTGTGTCCAATGTGTTTGTTTACCGTTAAAGCTCAGGTCATAGTCGAGGAGATATTATGGATTGAAGCAAATGAAGGGGATCTGGATAAAATACTAATCCAAACACAAAGCACAGAAATACCTCAATGGTGTGAAATATGGTGGAACTGTACTGAAAAGTGATTTCTAACATTTTTTTTCTTAATTATCAATAAATTTGACATTCTTCCATTTTTTGCACTAATCCCTTCCTCATGCACAAAGAGACATAGCCAGGTGTACTGTAACTCGCTGAATTTCTTGTGACTCCATGGAATTGAGAGTTTGCTAGACACTGCTTAGAAGTATTCACGAGCCTTCCTTCCATGCAGAGCTGCAGTTTGTGCGGAGTCCAAGCAATGTGACCTCGTCACTGAGCAGGTCGGTGCGGATGGAGTGCGTGCTGCGCGTGAATGGTGGAGACAGCGAGCCTGCGGACATCGAGTGGCAGAGAGATGGGCAGCCCCTGGACCTCGCCAACACCGACCAGATTCAGGTCCCCATCAGTGATGGCAGTTGGCAGACGGCCAGTACACTCAGGTGAGTTGCATCAGTGGCGGGATTATGGGTCTAACCATTGATTCGTGCCAGTCGGCTTCTCCGTTGGCCTATCACACTGCCCTACTTACAGGGCTCTGTGTCTGGCTCAGTGGGCTAAGCCTATGTGCCTGTAATTGGAAGCTCGCTCGTTCACGCTTGGCTTTGGCAGAACAGTCACGTCTGTGGCCCCTGAGCAAGGCCCTTAACCCCTAGAAACATGTTTGCTCTCACCTTGGAGAGCAAGGTGTCATGGAGAGCAAGGTGTCATGGAGAGCAAGCTAAGGCAGGCAAGAAAAGACTTTCCCCACACAAGATCAACAAAGTGTCATTATTATTTACTGAAGCAATCCAGGTTAACCTTATGAATCTTGTTGTAACACATGTATTTTACACCTTTTATACCATTTCCCAATATCTCTATTATGGTGCAAGACTTGCTCCAAGTGGGAGGGGAAAGAGAATAATGTGACACAGGAAAGAAATATCGCCATGGGATGAAAGAAAGAGTCGTACCTGGGTGGGGGGGTCTGGGTTGTGCCTGCCACCTCACTTTCGACTACATGGGAAGTCCACCCTCTTTGCCATCTTGGCTGAACATTTTAGTTTTTTTTATTATTCCAGTGTTTGAATTGTATTTGCAGTGAGCAGGGCTCGAATCAGTTCTACTGCCAAAATTAATTGAAACTTGATTTATAATGAAAATACCAAATGTACAAAAGGCCTAAAAATGTATACTTTTGGTTTATGACATATGAAAAAGAGGTCGTAGAGGTGAGGGGAGTTCTCAGATATAGGATGTTTTGTACATGCTGGTCTTCTTACTCACTGTTATTATTGCCTTGGTGTATTATTGCCCCTGTCCCTTTACGTGTAGAATTGAGGCTCTGCAGCTGTCAGATATGGGAAGCTACTGCTGTATCGTAATGGCAGGAGGGAGGAAGATGGTTTCGCAGGCAGGATACATCCAGCTGGAGGGTGAGTGCTCGCACGGCTGTTTATGCAATCCTTGACTTCCATATTTTCATTGTTGTCAGTTCGTTATTGGTAAAAAAAAAAAAATCTCTCTTTTGTCATTGGCCTGCTTGACTACATTAGTGTGCTTGTTGTGAGGATGTATCGAAACTCTCTCGACTTCCCAGACCTCCCTCACTTCTCTGTGGAGCCCCGGGATATGGTGGTAACAGCCAACAGTCCTCTGAGCCTCTACTGTGAAGCACACGGTCCTCCAGAACCCGTCTGGGTCATCTGGCTGCAGGACGGTGTCCCATTAACCAGAGTACAAGATCCAAACTCTCAGTCACCCTCTACTCTCAACATCACAGGTAGTGATATGCTCATCCCCTATCACTGTCTATATCTGTCTTTATATGACACTGTCGCTATGAAAACACTTTCATCTGGAGGGATATTTAGTCCAAGTGCAGCTTCAGTGATTCAGGGTAAAAGAGTGCCAGCCCATGGGTCTCGGACCAGGGTTGAGTTTGAAGAATCAGCTCTGACTCACAGACCACAGCCACTTTATTGGTGTTACTCATTCATGCAGTATGAATTGGATGCTACCCAAATTGCTGAGGCACCGGGATCAGTAATAGCTTTGAAGGCCGCAAAGCAGTCCGTGAATGGATATATACAGAGCAGTGTGCAACAATCGCCTGACACAGCCACACAGGACCAGACAAAAGGTTGACTCCTCTGAACCAGAGCATGCTTGATAACTTAATGATGCCGTCTTTGTACCAGGTCAGAGGTACATTGTTCTACACTCACAAAAGTGGCCATGTGGGAGTAGACACTTAGAGAACATCTCTTGCTGACTGCTGAGGAAAGATCACGAGGAGTAGTGTACAATGCACATTAACAGATTCCTAACATTTCATTTGTTCTTTGGTCTGCCTTTTTCACCCATCTAGCTATTTATCTGAGAGCTTTATGCTGGTCAAACAACGTGTAAGGACTTAATAGACAGTTTTTGTTTGAACGGCTGTTTATCAGCGTGTGTTTATGGGCTTATGTCAGTGTGTCCACCAGCAAGCCATGTGAAGCAGAAGCAGGAGTGTGTAGCTCAGCTGTTTACTAACCAGATTGGAACTTTCATGCGCTACTCAGCAAATCACTTCCTGCTGAAGCATTTTACACAACCACAGAAACACATACAGATACAGTACAGTACTGTGCAAAAGTCTTAGGCAGTCAAAAGAAATGTTTAAAGCTGTTATTCTGGGTAGTAAATGCATATTTGTGGGACAAAAGGCCAAATTTAACATTAGATCATATGCAAATTAAGAGTAACAATAAAAAAAATTCTGCTGTTCTCCAAAAAGTTACTGATATCCTGCTGGACGGCTAGATGAACTCCACTTCAGTTGCCAAACCTCTCCTCAGGGGCACCTCAGCCGTTCCATGTATTTGTTACATTTCACCACCATCTCAATTAATTAATTTGAAAAGTATTTTTTTATTGATTAGCTATACAAAGTGTTAGAGTGGTCAAGTAAAAAAAAAAATAGGGGGTATATTGCATGGTTGCTGTAAACACTGGGGTCATTTTAGCAGAGGTTTTGAAATGGCTAAGCTGGCACACCTTGGAAGACATAACTGCACAGTTTTACACCAACATGAAGATCATTTAAACATAATTTTCTTTGGCTGCGTAAGACTTTTGCACAGTACTGTCCATGCATACAGGCAAGTGCTGAGACACACTCTGAGGTCGAATCATTCATATCTCCCCTATCCACCTCCACTCCCAGGTGGTATGTGGTTCGCTGGGGGGGGCGTTCAACCTGGGTGACCAGATAATCCATGTCAGGGAGGACACTTTACGCTACTTCAGGTTTTACAAACTGCTTTAAAACTTTAAGGCTCCTGTGCTCGGCTAAACAGTTCTTCTTGTGTTTTGACTGATTTGTTTTCTTGATTGATGACTCATCCAGCTGTTTCACATTAGCATTAGTGACACATGCATGATTATAGGAGACTGACCAATCAGCACACAGCAAGAACTCAGTGCTAAAGTGAAATCCAGGTCCTTTTAATTGAAATGGTAGTTTACAATTCCTGTCCTAGCTCAGAGTGTCCTCCCTGACATGGATTATCTGGTCACCAAGCTTAGTAAGTTCTGCTTTATTGTGTGTTGGGGGTTTCCCATTGCACTCTGGTTTCCGTTTACAGCTCAGAAGACATTAAGTTTCATTGAATAACTGTCTCTAAACTGCCCATAGTGTGTGGGTGTGAGTGTCTTCAGTGGACCGGCACCCTTTCCATGGTGACCCACACCTCACGCCCTTTGCTACCTGAGATGGAAGCCCAACTCGCTACAACCCTGCACTGGATATAAGATTTTCGCAAAAGGATAAACACAAGTCCCACCATTGTGCTAGGTCTCAGGCTTGAAGCCATCAGAGTGAAGCTGATGAATAGCATTTAATTAACTAGCATTTAACACATAGTTTGCTGTGCTACATGCTATTCACGTGTTGTCTGTTTTTGTTGTTTTCTTATAGGCCTCAATAAAACCAGCGCATTCTCCTGTGAGGCCCGCAATGACAAAGGTGTGGCTACTTCTGAATCCGGCACTGTCACAGGTACAGCAGAACAGAACCGCAGTGATGTCTCACTGGGCCTTATTGCAGTGACTTTCTCTATAAACTTCCTCTCTGCTTTTGGACAGTTATCCCATCCCAGCCAGAGAAAGTGGAGACTGTAGAAGTCACCAACAGCAGCCTGCATATCTCCTGGCAGCCAGGCTTTGGCGGCAATTACTCTGTCACTGTGTGTTCCATCCAGGTAAGTTCTCATCATCAGTGTGGTTCCACACAGTGGGACAACTCAGGAGAAGAAGCTATCAACTGCTATATCAATAGACATTCTGTGTGTGTAGGGGTTATGCATATATTACATTGTGAGGACGTTTGGTCCTCAATATGTGATAAAAACCTGTTATTTTGAGAATTTGCACAAGGGGAAACTCAGTTTTATGAAAATATGTAACTGCAATCAAAATGCTAAAATACCAAAGTCTTGTATTTTGTTTGGTCACTTATGGTTAATGTTAGTGTTGGGTAGGGGTTAAGGTTGGAATTTTGGGGATTAGGGTTTTGCTCATAAAAATGAATGCACAGTCCCCATAAAGATATCAATATAAACATGTGTGTTTGTGTGTGAGAGACCAGCCACAGACTACATGGATCCATTTATGAGATTTACAGCTTTTCCTCTGTCTGTCGTCATAAGTATTTCTTGTTCCATCCAAGTACTTGTCAGCTCTTTCGCTCTCACACCCTCTGCACGCGTCTTAAACCCTTACTCGACCCATTCTATGACAGGTCATCTGGGTTCAAGCTGGGAACAGCGGCCTCCTAAACTTTGCGTCCCTGTAACTAGCTGACTAGCCGCAGTTCACATGCACCACCATAACTGCCGCTTGTTCCGCAAGCCGCCTGAAGTCTCGTCCCACAACACTACCACCCTAGAGACCATTAAGCCCTATTCCTTTATAAGCCATTTAGCTACAAATTTTGATCATCCACCAAGCTATTCGGGCAAACAAATAGGAATGAAAGCAACGGAAACTTTCCCACAGTGCGAATGACACCATGTTGGCATGTAGTATCTACAGAATTAGCTTTTTACTTTCGCGTTTTAGAATGGCGGGCATGCTGCAGGAATAGGAGCACATGTGTAAAACTACCGATGATATCTAAAGAGCAATGAAGTAGAGCAGCCGGGAAAAGAAGAAAATAGGCAAAAGATTAGGCAGTGGGGAAAGTGAGAAATGGCAAAGGAATTCTTCTGCTTTGTGACTCAGGGAGAAGCTGGATAACCAGCTGTTTGCCAGCAAGGGCAATTAGCCATTGAGTCACCGATGAGTCCATGCTCAGGCACTTGTTAACATTCCATTCTGTAAATAGCCCTTCTGGTCTTGCACGAGCACCTCCTCAATAATAAGACCCTCTAATCTGCCTCACCTCTGACCAGCTCCCTTTGCCTGCATCCTCCTGCCTTCTGTCTCTCTGGCAGCTGCAGTACCTGCAGCTCTGTGGATCGGGTACCCAGCAACACTGGTGTTACACCACTGGTGTTAACACCGTGATACAGCAGTGAACTACAGGATGCTCTGTGTTTATGTTGCTTGTTTGTCTGTCATCCAAAACTGGAGCTCTGCACTTTTGCTGAGCTCCTGGGATTCATACTGTATTCACAGAAAGAAGAACTGCAGTAGATCACTTCTGCTGTGGTACAGAGTGAAACTCTGTGATTTGAAGAAGAGGCTGCAAGAACAGAAAATTAGGAAACCCAAATTTTGTCAATAGCATTGCATCATTCAGCATGCTTCGTCGACCACATCATATACGCTGCACATTTGAGCAGGCCAAGGGAATTTCATAACTGTTTACAGAAATCGCTGGGAGTCCAGCAAGAAAATCTGGAGCAGCGTGTGGACTCAGAATTACATACAAGAGAATATAATTCATGAAAACAGCAACCATGATGTCTGTGTTACAGGCCACACGCCAATCCAATCTTCACATGGTCCCCACTCATCACAACCAGATGCACAACCAGAACGTGAATGTGCCACCTGCCCGGCACCTGATTCCAAACCTGAAGCCCTTCACCAACTACAGCGTGAGGGTGGCCTGTCTCAGCAGCCAGGGCATCTCCCCCTGGAGCCCCTGGGTCACACTGCGTACCAGTGAGGGAGGTAGGACTCACCCCCCCTCGTTATTCTTTCTGAGTGCAGTACACCTGAGAACTATGTGTTATAGTATTAAGTCTAATTCTGGTGCATTCCATTGACTTTATTCCTGTTCAGTTCATCCATTCATCTATTCGTCAATCCATCCATCTTCAGGCCACACTTCCTGTACATGGACACATATTTGTTCAGTTCAGCTTAAATTAATTTGTTTCTGGCTCATTCTGTTTATTCAGATTATTATATAAAAAGCACATGAGTTTTTATGATTGACCTTTTGTAATCCTTTACGTTTGTGCCTTTGTAGTCTAATGTAACATTTTTGTGGGGACTGTTACACTTTACAGCTGTTCAACTTGGAAAATGATTAACTATTGATACAAATAACTGTCCGCTCATATACAGGCATCCATATGTGAATATTTGAGGTCTGGCGATTTGCTTTTGCATGAGCTAGAGACCAGCAGGAGCTTCTGTCTGAGTTTGAGCAAGGAGGTTTTGCCAGGAAATGGAGCAAATGCCATTTGCATGGTGGTTAATATCCGTCCTCTGCATCTGTGAGCTGTAAAAGGCTGGGAGGAAAGAAGAGATTGGATTTTAAGGGAAAAACAGGAGGTGGCAGACTGGTCTAAAGAGTGAGGCCCAACCATGCTGGGCCCACACTGCTACATTATGCTTGAACGGAGATGGAGGAGGTGACGGGCGGGGCTTCTCCATGCCAACTCATGCTCTTTGCAACCTGGAACAGAGTCTGGAGTAAACTGAGCATTAAAAAGGAGTAAATTGGAAAGGGAGTATACCGAGCATAAAAAAAGGAAGGAAAAGAGAGCGGAGATGAGTGTTGGAGGGAGAGGGACTCTCCCGCCAGTTTGCCATTTTTGAAACATTGAAAAGCCCCTTTGTTCCATGAAAGGGAACAAAAAGGCAGGAGATATTGACCGAGACGACGAAGGAGAGAGGCAAGACAGGCCTGGGTGATGTCTCCGCATCCCAGAGCAGAGTCGTTTCTAACACGGGGAATCTGTGCTCAAGGTGAAGGACAGGGGGAACACTGAGGAACAGCCGCATAGTGAGAAACTAGGAAAGATGAAGAGCCAGAGAATATAAAACCAGTGAGAGATAAATGAGAGTTGGAGCAGCAAAGAACCACTCGTGTCGGCTGAACAACTTTTTCCGCTTTACGCGTGGTCCCCACGGCCGCAGATGTGGTGGGACCTGCCTGCTGTTTTCCGCTCATGTCTGTCTCTCACCTTGCTGACTAAAATTTCCCATGCAAGCTCTTCCACAGCCTCGGCACACACTCTGCTCTTTCATCTGGAAACGTGTGTGTGCCGTGATTTTGTGGTTATGGCCGCCTTTTACAGGCACCGAGTGCGTCCTTGTGTCACCAATGGATGTGTGAACAGGACCGGCCCCTACTATAAAAACATCTGCATTGGCCCAGAGTTCTTGGATGAGCACTGGCATGCGGCAGCCAAAGCATCTTGTTGTTTCGAAGCGATTCATCTGAAAAGAATGGATCGGTCCGCCTATCCTCCAACTGCATATCCTGGTCAGGGTCATGCGGGGGAGACTGGGAGCCAGCTCCAGGCAGCGCAGGGCACACGGATGGGGACAACCCTGGATAAGATTACAGAGCATTCCAGGGCACACATAACACACACACATAAGGAGAGCGCATCCACTGATTACCAAAATACTCTTCCAAAACAGACCCATGCAGCTATAAAGGTTGACATATGAAATGAAATGAGAGAGCATAGAAATCTAGCAAACAAACGTCCTGTCAAGGGAGTTTGTTTTTCCTTAAATAGCCAGATCAATCTACCAGCCTTCTGTCTTTCATACATAAAGACCTCGCTGTCCCTGTAGAGTTCCTTCTTCTTCTTCTTTTTTTTTTTTAATGCTCTCATTACTTCCCTTAATATTTTTATTTTCATCTGAATCTGTCATTCAGGAAATTGACCGTGTAAGGACAACTCCAACAATGTGTTTCTAGGTTCTCTAAGCAAACTTGTGTTTCCTTCTCTCACTTCCGTACCCTTTTCCCTAAACATAGCTCTCTTCATTTTCAGCCACCTCATTTTTTCCTTTCCATGCTCTCCCTTTTGCCTCATGTCTTTCCCTCTATTCCCTGGCCCCTGCTGACCCACAGTTTCATTTCCTGAAGGGGGGGAGAGAGAGAGAGAGAGAGAGAGAGAGATGACTGAGCTCTGAGGGATAAGGGAGGCTGAACGAGAGCAAGCTAGTGGGGCAAGAACGAAGGGGGGGGGGGCAGCTTAAAAAAACATCCTTTCTGCTAAATTCTCAGACCGGTTCCGTCCCAGAGGATCAGCTCTGCATTCCCAGAAAAACACAAACCCATGTACCCATTTTGAATGTCCATTGAACATTTAGCAGAATTGGAATTCAAGAAGATGAAATATTGTGATACCACCTGTGTTATATCTACAGATTAATCACTGAAGAATAACCAGATTCATACAGCGTGTTGATAGCATAGTACAGGAGCGTTTTTAAATGATGTGAGTTTTCTGTGAGCTGTTGTCGCTGCTCATCTGCCCCTCCTGTAACCTCTAAGCTGGGGATGATCTGACTGCGCTGACAGCAACTCTTTCGTTCATGTTGAGTCTTACATGCGCTCATAGATAGCTGCTTCACTCATGCTGCCTATGTTGTCCTGTTTTTAATAGTAATAATTTAAATGTCCCCCCCCAGCTCCGACAAGCTTACTGTATTTGCCTGAATTCAGTAGTGAGTGTCCCATGCTGTCATTGGCAGGGATCGGCTCAGATCCAGCCCCACATGTGGAACCGATCAGCGGATAAATGCTTCCTAATAACCTCACGGGGTCCTTTTCAGGGCAGTGCTGAATACAGGGACGGCCAATAGCAGGGTGGGGGCGGAGCTAAGGGCTGTGGGTGGTGGGTGGGGTGAGGGGTACTGGACACAATGAGGACAAGATGTGCTCTGTATGATTCACAACATGATTCACTGTATAGCAGAAGCAAAGATCGCAGTACATTTGTTTCGGTGCGATTATTCATCACATAGACAGAAGAGCGAATAATCAAAGGCTTTAAGCCACAGCAAGTGGGGGGGGGAAGGCAAAAAGCAGAACATGGCAGCCTGTTGGTTGCAGAAGACTCAGTGTTTTCATGACAGATGTTCTGTCATCATCTCTGCCACACACACACACACACATCCCTGCTGCTATTTTCAGGCTGTTTTTCTCATTTTGCTCCAGCCCTGCCGGTTCTTTGGCTGTCAGTGCCTGCTGGTCCTCGTCGTGCATATTAGTGAGAGAGGGAATTTGTGAGCCACTCTGTTCCCTCAACATTCAGGAGCACAGAGGAAGCCTGTGGCTTCTGAATGTTCTTGCTAACCAGTTTTTCCTATAAAGTAAGATTCTAGGCATTCCTGGACACCCCTAAACCTCTCCCCTCAGTTGCCCAGTTCGTCTTCTTAGTTTGAGTCCAACCCATGGACTTAGCCTGACCTCAGCACTATGACTTCTCTGTATTTTCTAACTTAGAGTGTTTGCTGCTTTGCCGGATATGTAGCTTGATATTTAGCGACTCATAACCCAGTGATCAGCTTTTCTCCCCAATGGTACAACAGCAGACCTTTCTGGAACTCACAACCTTTTGCTCACATACAGCCTGCATACCATCTTCTGGATTTTAAAGTGAACTACAGAGGGGAATAGCACTCCAGGCAAAACCGTGCGAGGGAAAAACACGAGGAGTGCTCAGCGGCCAGAGAAAACAGGGAGAGGGAAAAAACCTCACGACAGCTGAGCGATATTTTACACATGTGTGTTTCAGAGACATGACGCCGTGTGCCTGGCTCTCCACGCCTGGGTCCCTTCCAGCCCACAGAAATTCTGTCATCTGTTAGCAGTGAGCTTGGTTATCCGTGTGTGCTTTGGGGATATGGCAGCCATTGATATGAGCTTAGCGCTACACTGTATCTCTGGTCGATCAATAAAGCCGTCAGTCTTTGATCTAAAACAGCTGGACTGTCTCAAAGTTTTACAGAGACAATATGATTTAAGTAGGACAAGCATTCAGTGACTGAGAATCAGGAACTCAAATAATTAAGACAGATATTCAAATACAAGGTCATTTAGTAATGATAAAATTGGACATTTTGGTAAATGTTTATCCCACATTCTTTTTGGGCCCGTTATGTCTCAGAAGTCGATTAGTATATAAGTGTTTGGTAACTTCTGAGTTTCACAGGAGCCAAGATATTTATATAGTTAAGGAAACTTGGTGTATTTATTTATTTACAAATTTCTGTTTATTATCAATAACTCCAATAATTCCTATTGACATTATTAATTTATTTGCGGTATTGTCATACCATGCCATATTCTTTCTGTGAGAAAAGCATACATATAAGTGTATTTGTGATGTGATATCAGTTTAAGTGTGTATGTTTTGTTATGATTTTGTGTGCAGTGCCAGAAGTCTCACCAGTGAATATCAGTGCTGTATTCAACGACACGGTGATGATGGTGAACTGGGCGGAGCCTTCCGGCCAGCTTAATGGGTGCTTGCTTGGGTACTGGCTGGAGTACAGCACCCCACTGATGGCAGAGGTACAACACACACACACACGTTCTCTCTTTTCATAAAAAGTTTGACAAGGGCTCCCTTTGTCTCTAGTGTAATGAGATATAATTCTGCTTGGCTTAACTTGTAAGTCCCAGGTATAAATTCAGAGAGATGTGGACATTGTGGTCTTTAAACAAATTTGAAGAGCACATTTCCAAAACTCTCTCAGTCCATTTTTTGTTGATTTTTGAGATGAGGCCACCAATGTCTCATCATATGTTACAGGATTGGGAACCAAAACGTTCATAGTCCTCATGTTATCCAATGAAGAACTTTCTTTAAAGTCCATAGAAATTTTCTCAAAAACATATCCCGGGGTGAGTTTTGGAAATTTGCTCTGCAGTTGGAAAGACAACGCCTGATTCAGCATTAACATGATTTTCTTGACATATGGTCCACAATTCATATTTATATGAAACATATGAATATAAAGAATGAATGGAAAGGCTTTAAAAATGCTTCTCATCCAAAAAATGAGTACGGATTCAGTGCATCTGTCACGCCCCTCTCCGTCCGCTTCTACTGTGTGCCACGCCCACCTCGTTACCTCGTGTTCAGCCCTGATTGTGATCACCTGTGTCCTGTTATGTCTGGCTAGTCTTTTGTATTTAGTCCTCGTCTGAGTCAGTCTTCCCCAGACTTGTCATTAATGTTACTCGTCGTGTTTCCCCGGTCCTGCTTCCCTTAATAAATCCCCGTTTTACCCTGCTTCCTGGCTCAAATCACCTGCTTTCCGGCTCGCTTGCCCGCGATCGTGATAGCATCACTCAGAGATGAGTGGGAGAGAACAGACAAGCACACCCCCCTCGTACGTAAAAACCACGGGCAGGAAGTACATACACCTTGTATGCCTTTTATGTCCCAGGTTGTGCTTGATGTGGGCTTGTCCACCAGACTGTCCGTCAACCTATCAACGCCCGTGTCCAACGTGTCTGTCCGGGTGTGTGCCTATACCGGGGTGGGGCCTGGACCTTGGAGCTCCTCCCACACCTTCAGCCCCATAAAAGCTGGTGAGCATTCATAGGAAGTGACATCTCAGGAAGTGACATGCAGAGGTAGGAAGAGCAGAGAGAGGTGTTGAAATAAGGTGGATGGGAACTGATAGACAGATGATGCAGGGAGTTCAAAGAGGGATGGAGGCAGGCAGGAGTGTAAAAATAATACTATATTCCATTTGAACTGGGAAGACTAAATTTCCGAGTCCCTAGTTGAAAATTTTAACTGGAACGCCCCCTGAAGTCCAACTTCTAATGCAGAAAGTTGGACAAACCTGTACAAACCGGCCTCAAAATTCTAGATGGTTGTGGCCTTCATCAACAGAAGCTAAAGCTGTAGTTATATACTGTGTGTTAGCACTTATGTCTTATTTCTGTCTCCTTAAATTGGTCATACAGCCAGTACAGTCCCGCCTCGATCTGTGAACATGTTGCTACAGTGTTTGTATGTGTAAAAAACCATGTAATGTGTTACTATCAACTGTTATTGCTAACAATGGCTAACAATGAACCTGGCACAAATGGTATTGCGAAATGGCTACCCGATTTGTTGTACTGAAAGGCGGCTACCTCTGGTGTGACATCATTCCAAGCGACAATTTCTCACCTCCAAGGTCAATGGAACGCAGCATGAATATATAAGAGAACAGCTGAAAATAAATCTGTTTACTGTATATTGCATTGGCAGTAATTGATGCATCTTTGTCATTTTTACAGGACAGCTTAAACAGAGCGGTAAGTCGTAACTGCCTGAGACAGATAAACATACAGCTGCATTTATGTCGTTCTAACAAAGGAAATGACCTCATGCTGTACGCTTCAGAACAGGCCGTTCCTGCTGCTTCAGTACGTCAGTGTGATGGTGCACATATGTAACCTAAAAAAATAAATAGTAAGCACAACACGCCGAGGGGTTCTGCGATGCCATAGTGCCCCCATAGCTCCCCTAGACATTCCTGACGATACTGTGAAATATAAATTCTGTGTAAATCCTAGATGCACCCCTATATAGTACCTGCAAGGAAGAATCTCCAGTGCCACCACTGGCATATTCTCTGGCGTTTTTGAATGGGTTTCCACTAGACGAGGATTTTTACGAAGGCAATGGGGAGGGGTTGGTAAGCACAGTCAAAGAAAGAGTGAGATATTAGAGAAAATGTTGTGTTTGTAGGGTGGGAGCGTGTCATAGTGACACACCCAATACTCCATCTGGCCAGATGAGCTCATTTCCTTGACCTCCTCGTAACACAAATAACCCCACTCAGCATGAACCCTGCTGCACTGACCTTAACCATACTAGTTAGTCATTGATCTTCTTCTTCTTCTAGAATGTTAATGCATAAATAAATCACCAGTTCAGGTTTCTCACCCTAGAGAGACAAATTTGTTTAATCCTAGGTCACTTTCTCATGGATTTCAGGAATACTCAATATTATGCATATACAGATGTGGTTTACTTTTCAGTTTTGTTTTTTTTTTCTATGAATATTATTACATTTAACTAACTACCAAAGAAAACAGGTTCCATCTCATTCTTGCTCCTCATGTTTTCATACCTTTAGATGCAACTGGTGTTTCTCAATACTTACTTGACCGTTCTTGTGTTCTTGTGTTCTCGCGTTCCGTTTTACGCAGTTGCAATACTAAGAACGGAAGTATGGTGGACGGTGAAAATCCATGGATGTCATTCTTGCCCCAAATATCAAGGATGCATCAGTTGCACTGTTGCCAAACAAGAACAATCCCATGATCCATTGCATCCCAAGATCATTCCTGGGAAGCAAGTTAGCAAGACCGCTCTTGCCAAGACCACAAGTGCGATCTTGGCTTTCTTGGTATTGAGAAACACGTATTGCTTCTCTTCACTGCCTCCTTCTTTTTCCCTCAAGTTCTGCATGATAACTCCGCAGTCTTAAATAATCCCAGATTTTTTTCAGTGTATTTTTATTTATTTTTTTACCCCTTCTTCCCTTCTTCCACCACAGACCCTCCATCAGTCTTCTCCTGGCACTGGTGGTATGTAGTTATGGCAACTGCAGCCGCCGTTGCCCTGACGGTACTGATTGTGACCTATGTGGTCAAGCTACGCCGCAAGGAGACGCGATTCGGGTGCGTGCCAGAGGCTTCAGGGTGGTTTTTGCTTATTGTTCATTATTGTTTTTGCTTACTATAGGTTTTTTTCAAACCAGATTGTGTAGCAATCTTCATAGTTTCATATATCATTGAGACAAGCTGCCATCCTATGAATGTGGAAGAATGTTCTTACAAAATGTAACTGTAGGCAGAACTTGTCTGGGTTTTCCTTCATGGAAATAACAGGTCTGTGGTTTTCAGCCCTGGTATACCACACGTGTGTCAGCTGTTTTTATGTGTGTGTCGGATTTTGTTTTTCATTAAGCCTTGTTATGGAAGAGTTAACTGGACTCCTTAGGACTTGGATTGTGATTTCACAAACCATGACGTTTTTGAAGCGTCGGAGACACGGCGTGTCCGTGTCCGTGTCCGTGTCCGTGTCCATGTCCTCCGTCTGTAAGTCCCGCATGTGAGCACCGTTGATGCTGCTGGAGCTGCACATTAACTCAGTGCATTGGCCTGTCTTCCAGTGAGGCATTTCAGCCGACGATGGACAGTGGAGATTTGGTGGTGAGGTACCATGCCAGACGATCCTATGGCCGGCGCACAATGGAGGCCACATGTAAGTTATTCCTTCAGGATGCTAATATCTATCATAGGTCCCTTTGAGTATTTGTCTTCAAAAACAGCTGATTTAGATCATCCTTTTCCCAAGCTGATTTGCTATTGATTCTGTGTGAAATTCTCAGTTTCCCATTGTTTCATGTCTAATGATAACTTTAGTAGAAAAATTCGCCTGCAAACAATTTTTTATCAAAAAGCTTCTGTCAAAGAGCTTCTGCCTAAAATTAAAATGCTACGCACATGAACAGAGCCACGTTGTGGAGTGCAACACAGTGCAGCCAACAAGAGTTATCAGGACCAGATCAGAACACATAAGCACATTTCCTGTATTGTTTCCAGATCTTAACCGGAGTGATGTCACTGTTGTGGAACAGTGAAAGCACAGCACTGACGTCTCTGGGAGGAGAACATACCCTTAGCTGTGGGGTCAAGAGGGGTGCAGGGATTCCTCTGTAGCTTGTTAGAGTAATGTTTTTGGATGGATGTCATCTGGGCTCTGGCTTGGTTGCTATAGTGTTGCCTTTGTGCTGAAAAGCATTAGATAATAGATTAACTTTACTTCCTGTAATTGTTTATCTGGTTTCTGTAGTCAGTATGCAAGTCAGAAAAGCTATACATGCAATATATTCTGCATCACACAATATTAGTGGTTAAAATGTACTTTGAATGACGGACAAATCATACATTTTATTGTTTTGCTGGCATAAAGGGCTATACTACCAAGTAACTAAACTTTTTGTGTAGCTCTTTGTGTAGGAAAATGTTGACAAATGTTGGTTAAAGGTCTTCAACATACTTCACTGGCTGTATAGTAATGAGAGTTTGTGCTCATGTTTGTGTATGTAACACATCTGATTCCATAGTGAACAGCCTGGTCATCAGCGATGAGCTTAAGCAGAAGCTACAAGATGTGATGATAGACCGACACAAGCTGACCCTGGGCAAGACACTGGGTGAAGGTAAGAGTGACCCCATCGTCACTCATTAAACCCAGTTGTTCTCCTGATGTCCTCCATAGAAACAAGAGTGTGTACTCACTCACCACTCTGCAGGAGAATTTGGCTCGGTGATGGAGGGTCTGCTGACCCAGGAGGAGTTTGTGCTGAAGGTGGCTGTCAAAACCATGAAGAGTAAGTGAGTTTGCTGAGGCATGAAGCGCTACAGGGGCTGTGCATAGCATTTGAATTTGTCACCGCGGGCAGCCTGTGATGATGTCAGCCCTTCACTGGATCTGCTTCTGCTTCTCTTAATCACACCCTGCTCCATTTTGCCCCATAGTTGCCATCTGCACTCGCACTGAGATGGAGGACTTCCTGCGGGAAGCAGCTTGTATGAAGGAGTTTGACCACCAGAACGTCATGAGGCTCATAGGTGAGGGAGAAGATGGTTGCATAAGTACATTATTCAGATGGGGGGACGGGGTGGGGTGGGGTGAAAGGTTGTGCTAAGTAATTTCAACAATCGATCATGTTGATAAAAGAGAAATTTAGAGCAGAAATCTCAGACCATAAAACCCCATCATGGTTTAATGCAAAATTCCCAGATCCTAAAAGCTCAGATCCTAGAGTCTCATCATGATTTAGAGCAAAGTTTTCAGATTCTAAAAGCCCCAATTCTAAAGTCCCATCCTGATTTAGAGCAGAATTCTCAGATCATAAAATCCCAAGTTGTACATCCCATCAAGAATTAGAGCAAAATTCTCAGATCCTAAAGACCCAGATTCTAGAATCCCATTATGGATAAGAGCATGGATTACTGAGATTCTACAAAACCAGATTGTAGAATTCTTGGATCGTTAAATTCTCAGATCCTAAAGACCCAGATTCTAGAATCCCATTATGGATAAGAGCATGGATTACTGAGATTCTACAAACCCAGATTGTAGAATTCTTGGATCGTTAAATTCTCAGATCCTAAAATCCCAGATTGTAGAATCCCATGATGAGTGTGAATTCCTCAGATCCATTCTCAGATCCAAAAGCTTATTCTAAAAGCAACTCTAGAATCCCATCATGATTTAGAGCAAAATTCTCAGATCCTAAAACCCCAGTGTGAATTCCTCATCTCCACTTTCCACCATCTCTTCTCTACAGGGGTCTGCTTGCAGACAGTGGAGAGTGAGGGCTATCCTTCACCGGTGGTCATCCTGCCTTATATGAAGCATGGAGACCTGCACAGCTACCTGCTCTACTCCCGCTTGGGTGACTGCCCTGTGGTCAGTCCACTTGCATACTGCAGGACTCTGTAGTGTGATGACTCACCCCAACTTTGTATTTCCAGTCAAGGAACTGACAGCTTAACAAATTTCAGTATTACTCAGAGTCCAGAATACACAAGATACTGCATTCAGCGAAGACCTAAAGTATTTTCAACACAATATTGATATCAAATTAGTGTGCCACTGAAGCTTCTACTGAATGCTCACAATGTGGAATATGTTTTATGTTTCACTGGAGCACAGGGGGCACAGTGAGTTTTCACTGTTGCTTTATACCGTCAAGTTGCCCCTCTGTTGTATCCATAATGACTATAAAAAAGATTATATGAAGCTTATGATGCTGACTTTTTTGTTTAAATAGAAGAATATAGTGTCCTCCATTTTAATATGCAGCTCCTGAACTATTCTTCGTGGTGTGAGTGGTGTTATATCCCCCTCTAGTGGAGCGAATGTGTGAAATGTCTCCTTGTGTTAACTGGCCTTCCCTGTCTTTCAGTTCCTGCCTTCTCAGATGCTAGTGAAGTTCATGACAGATATTGCGAGGGGGATGGAGTATTTGAGCAGCAAGAGCTTCATTCATAGAGATCTCGCTGCCCGAAACTGCATGTGAGTTTGCTTTTCCTTCCTATAAGCACTGAAACAAAATAGTTTCGTTGTGCTTAACACCAGATTGACGTCCAAAGTAAAATATGCCGTAACTCCCTTTACCTCCTTCTCACGATATACCAGGCTAAACGAGAACATGACAGTATGTGTGGCAGACTTTGGGCTCTCTAAGAAGATCTACAACGGCGATTACTACAGACAAGGCCGAATCTCCAAAATGCCAGTCAAGTGGATTGCGATTGAAAGCCTTGCGGACAGGGTGTACACAACCAAGAGTGATGTGGTGAGCTAAAGCAGCTTATGTGTATTTCCTTATTTGTATATTACACATTTCTCAGCGTTTAACACATCTATACAACCCTGGCACTTACTAACACATATCCAGGACTTAACCAGAAGCCAGTGTAAAGATATTATAATCATGTAATATGGTCATATTTACTCCTAGTTGTGGTTCTTGCGCCACATGCTAAATCTGCTGTAAGATCTGTTTTGTGCTCCTTGAGAGATTACAGAGATTACAGTCTAATCTGCTATATATAAATGCATATATGAATTTAGTGATGAATCTAATATAAAAGGAACATGTTCTTGACGGGGAGATTATAAATCTTTGAATGGTCTAATCCCAGAGTACTTGTGTGATCCTTTAGTTCCACATAATCCGCCTCATTTACTTGATTTTCAAAAGGCAAGTTATCTGATAGTTCACAGAGTTGAAAGAGCTCTGCAGCTGTAGAACAGTGATCCAGCAAATATTTGAGATTGAGGCTCCCTAGCAATGCTGGCAGTCCCCAGGTTACAAATGAGACCCGTTCTCTTTCGTAGGTAAGTAGGAACAATAATAATAAAGTATGTAAAAATAGTATTAATAATAGAGTAATAATCATAGTAACTACATATGTTACTGTATTGAACCTCAGGCTGATGAGCTGCTGAAGCCGCACAATGTTTTCCGAGTGTCACAAAGTAGTGCATGCGTTTGTTATTAGGAACTGTTGTGTTTAACCCAGTTTTTAAATATAATTGGCTTTATGGGACTCTGTTCGTAAGGATGAGTTGGCCGTAAGTTGGATATCCTCAACCTGAGGACTGCCTGTATTTTAGTCTAGGCTAAAAGCAAACTTTTTAGTTTGTCTCCCACTAAGTTAGGTGGAAGACTGTCCTTCTTATAAAAACCAGACTGTTCCCAAAAATCATTATCATTGAAAAATAAGTGTTTTTGATGCACAAAGTATCAAACCAAGAGTTTAAGAAGTGTAGCTCTACTGTATTAAGGGACAAGAAACGATTATGTTCTGACATTTACATTGAGGTGAAACTGCTCCTGAATTCCTTCCATTGCTGGGGCTGGATATCATTAGACAAAGTAGGTATTTCACCTGAGCCTGTTTCAGTCTTAATGCCAGAGATCCTGGCCTGTGTGTCTTTATTTTATTTTTACAGTTCAGCAGTGTTGCAGTGAAGTTGGCTTCTTAAGTCCGCATGTATTACATTTATGAGGGACTCATACTGACTAATTGCTCTACTTCGTTCCGTTTCAGTGGTCTTTTGGGGTCACAATGTGGGAGATTGCCACTAGGGGGCAGACACCTTACCCAGGAGTGGAGAACAGTGAGATTTACGACTACCTAAGACAGGGAAATCGCCTTAAACAGCCCCCAGGCTGCCTGGATGTCATGTGAGTGTGTGACTCAGACATGTGCTGGGAAACTAGTTTTCTATGTTATTATCTGAATTTATTTAATGTCTGTAAAGAAAAGAGCATTTCACTACATAACTAGGGCACAATGCATTATTGAAGATGAAGGGTGTTTAACACTGCAAGAATGGAATGTATTTTAGGAGAGAAAAAGCACCTATAGCGTGTTATCTGAAATCTTTTTCAAATTTTTTTAACAGAACATAGCACTTACACATTACTTATTTAACGTATTCTTACATAATTGTTACATTGCCAAATAATTTGCAATGGCCACTTTCTGCACTGCAGATACTCCCTGATGTTCTCCTGCTGGTTGCTGAGCCCCAAAGATAGGCCAAGTTTTGAAACTCTCTGTTGCGAGCTGGAGAAGGTCCTAGAAGAACTGCCGGACATGCTGGAGCCTGAGGAGATCCTCTATGTGAACATGGATGAACCCCGGGCAGAGCAGGGGGCCGTGGGGGGTCGGGAGCCCTCTTTCGCCCCCCTGCCTTTCTCCCTGAAGGGCATGGACTCTATAACGACTGTCGAGGTGCACCAGCCTGGCCGCTACGTCCTCTGCCCTCAACACGAGACGCAGAAGCTGCTCACCGACTCCACAGAGAGCCTCAACCTGAATTGCTCCTCCTCCAACTCCACCTTACTGCTACAGCGCTCGTCTTGCTCCACCCCTTTGTCAGAACAACGAGAGGACAGGGAGGGGGGTCTTCGAAAAGCCCCCAGGCAATGACGTCGGGGGGGCACTCGCTGCTGGTCCATGCTGAAGATGCAGTTCAGCTTGAGATGCCTGAAACATACCTGTGTCCTAAGACAAGGGGCATTCTGTCAAGTGGGGGTGGGGGGTTTGTGGTGGACTCTGGAGTTCCTCCATGCTGATATGGGACACTTCTTAGACTGGGTTAAAGTAACTGCGTAGGACCAGAACCAATACGACAGGATCACCCTTTCCTCCTAATCTGCAGCAAGAACTGAATGGAGAGAAGAAAAAATATTGTACGTATAGGTCTATTTTGGAATATATATTTTTGCATATGCACAATCAGAGAGAGAAATGTAATATTGTTACATTTGATGATGAGAAGCCCACAGAGGTGGCATTTTTAACCATCTGGTTTAGCTGAAGGACACAGTTTGAAGGTTTTTTTCCACTTTAAACCAAAATCAGCTGATCAGCACTCATTCTGATGCATGTTTACACCAGCTGTTCCACCTATGATAATTTCCAAAGCCAGTTGCATCTATTTAAAAAAAAAAAAGTATGATACAATAAGAATAAAAGAGTGATTAGATATACTATAAAGTACTGCATTAGTATAATGAATTAGAATAACTAATTTATTGACAAGAAATGATCCAATTGTGGAAGCAAAAAACGTTTTATTCCCAAAATCAGAGTCCATAACTGCAGTACAGTATGTCACAGACCAGGCAAAGCCACCATGGAGAAAAACCAAATCCTCATCCAAATTGTGACACCAAAATCAGTGCAAGGCGATGGATGTTGGGTCCAGCCAGTGCAATACTGAGAAAGTTACCAAGCCAAGACATGAGATAAAAGGCAAGAAAACTCAGAGATTATGAGAAGGTCATACGCAAACAGGGTAGGCAAGGAATGACCTTTCAGTATGGTGGCCACACACAGCACCTTACAAAGAGATGAGTAAAACTGGCAGGTTTTAAAATATGGCACCTAGAAACGACTTCGAGGGCCACAGGTGCTTGAAAACTCCAGTGAGGTGCAGCATGACCAGGCTGGAGGCCGTCGTGACAATAACAATGCAAAGCCTGTTGGAAAAAAATAATAATTTAAATTAGACTGGATTGCTTGTGTGCATTTAAAGACCACTCAACCCAAGAAAAGTTATGTGATTTTGCTTAGCTTTTAGTAATGCCGTTTGCTGTTTTGTTTAAATTTAAGGGAAATGACAATGTATATATACTGTAGTAATAATGCCAGGTCTTAAATGATGATGCTGTAGCCTGGCCCACATGCCCAGACTTAACTGTTGCACTTAATTGTATATATCCAGCATGTAGACACCACACCAGCTAAGTCTTTTGCATAACTCTGTTGGCACATAGGAAGCCTTACATAACTGCCTAGCACAGGCTTAAGTCTGGCCTCACTTTACAGTATAGTGATGGCCAAAACGATGCCTCGTGAACCATTTGCAGTATTTTTTGACCCACTAGATGGCATGCTTTGAGCCATTTTTTGACCAGACATCACCATGTAATGGAGTCAGAAAAAACCTGAAATAGTTTGTGAAGCATCGTTCTTGCCTTCACTACTTTACAGGCAAACCTAACTTTTGTTCGTTGTAGTTTTTCCACACGTGGAGCACGATTAAATGTTACCTTCGAAATTCCTAAACTTATGTCAGCACAGACTAACTTTATTTGTACATCAGAAATGCCCCAGTTCATTTCCAAATCACTGCAATTCTGTCAACACTGATGTGGAGAACACCAAAAAAATCCAGGATTACTGAAGATGCACTGATTTGTAATGTATACTTTATTAAAACAAAGCTTCTAAGTTAACAACAAAATGGTAACGGAACAGAGCCCGTAAGGATGAATCTTGCATTTTATTAATATTTCACGCAACACTATCACAAAGCACAATTTCTAAAACTGTTGTGTTTGCTGTGTAAACTGTTAATGCATTATCCAACACTCATATTTTGCACTATGACATTCATGCGTTATTCATGCAGTTAAATTGTACTATGTTTTATTTTAAGTCCTAGTTTGACAGAAGCACTGTCCCGTTACATCTAATCCCTCCACTGATATTTTTTTTCTAAAAATATTTATTAGGCCAGTTAAAAACAGTGTTTATGGTAATTTTTGAATATTTTGGAGTTTTATTTGTACCATGTGTTATTATTAGAATTTAGTTTTTTACTGGTGTGATTTAAGTCATCAAATGTCATACATTCTTCCTGAATTTATTGTTTTTCACCTGATCTGTTTTTCACTTATTATTTGACATGTGTACTGCTAACAAGAAATGAGGAGGTTGCCAGTCAAATCGAATGACGTTGGAAGTCGACAAAATAGGGTCCGGCTAGTCAGATCTGCTTTACTGGACTGTTGATTGGTCCTTGGTATTTAATAAAAAAAGGAATACTCTAGTCATTTTTGTAGGCTCTTTTCATGTCCGGATAATAATTAGTTATTTCAATTTGTACTTTATTTGTGACCCAAAACAGCAATGTGCTCAAACAAATGCTACCTGCCACAAGCTTTGCCATATTCTCATTGGCTCGTGCCATTTATTTAAGCTTCCTGAGAAGAAAAAAAATCTATGGTGCCTCAGTTATCCTTTTTGTAATCTTGGTCCCACTCAGTAGTACAGTAGTTGCCAAGCCCTGAGATATGGTGGGAGTGACCGAAATGTTGTTACATTTATGCATATTTTTTGTTCCAGAAGCTACAAGATGAAGTTTTTCATCTTGTTCAGTGCAACAAAGAAAATGTGTAGTGAGAAGGGTGCACTGTATTTTAATAATAATCTCTGAGGAATACAGGGTTTCTGTGAAATACTAGTCATTACTGCTACCTTCTGATAGCAGGGGTACCCTGGGTGATGCACAGAATCTGTTTGACTTTGCGTAGTGTGGCCATGAAAGCAATGCAAAGTACTTCCAGAAAGCCAATACTCATTGAAAGTTATGTGAAGTACTTCCAGAAAGCCAATACTCATTGAAAGTTATGTGAAGTACTTCCAGAAANACTTCCAGAAAGCCAATACTCATTGAAAGTTATGTGAAGTACTTCCAGAAAGCCAATACTCATTGAAAGTTATGTGAAGTACTTCCAGAAAGCCAGTATTCTTTGAAAACTATGCAGAGTACTTCCAGAAAGTGAATACTTTTTGAAAACTATGCAGAGTACTTCCAGAAAGCCAATACTCTTTGAAAGCTATGCAGTGTACTTCCAGAAAGCAAATACGCTTCAAAAGCTATGTAGTGTACTTCCAGAAAGCAAATACGCTTTGAAAGCTATGCAGAGTACTTCCAGAAAGCCAATACTCTTTGTTAATTGTGTTGTAATGTTTCATTCCCATATTTGACTAAGATAATTATTCAAATTCACTTTATTCATGTGATTTATCAGGATTTATAATCTTAATTATATAAATGTATTAAATAAATCCTTGTATAAATCTAGACTAAAAATTTGTTATTGTCTTTTTTGTGTATCTAATATCAGCTTATCCGAACATCTGATACGTAACTGTTACTCGATTTAGCTGCTAGTTCAGCTCATTTTTTCCAGTACATGTTGAAAATACATAGCCATGGATCTGATGACATGTCATGAACTTCAAAGCAATTTTTAAGATAAGCTGGACTAATGTAAGTTAAACTAATGAGCCCACTTATGTTCTACCCGTATGCTCAATATGGACATTGACTGATGGAACTCAAACAACAAACTTTAAACTCAAGATCCTTCAAAGACCCTTTTCACATACAACTTCCCTGATGAACATCATATCAGTCTTATAGTTAATATCCATCTTCTTACCTGCCATGTAGCATATACACACAACAGTATACTATTCTTTTACACGACACAAATTACAACTGAGTTGACCTTCTTACCTGCTGGGAATAACTACTATTGCAGCGATCAGGGAAGGTCTCTTTAGTAGCCCCAGACAGGGGTGTTGAAGGGCATGGATTTCCGACAGATTCACAGGGTCCAGTACTTTATAGAGGTACCAAAACCCACCATCTGCCCCCCCCCCCCAAGCAGGAGACTAAAAGTAACATTTTGATAGGGGTCACAGAATTTCTAGCTACGCTGATGATCCAAGATGACGCTTTATCTAGATGGTACCTCTCTGCTTCATATATCACAACGGATCTCTTCCTTGTCACAGGGGTAATATTCCAAGGTCCCAAGGCCATTTTCCATTGCAAGTCTGGACCGTTTTGATTTATTTTCCCTCCTGTCTTTGGGCTCCCAAACTGTAATCTTCTTCTGTGGAACCTTGTATTTTATGTGATTAATTTGAAGAATTATCTATCACAATTCTGGAATTTATTAGCAATCAGACTTTGTGACCACTAACCATTATTGATTATAGTTCCCAAGTCAGAAAGTGGTTCTTGGGCCCAGATCAAAGGTGTGTGAAGGGTAATTGAAGCCTATCCGAAGGCGCCATTACTTTCCTTATCTTGCCCACATAGACAACTGATTCTGGGCCAGATCCGCTCACATCTCCATAAATCTGGGTGCCAGTGACATTCTGGCAGGAAAGTCTGCAACAGAATCTTCTCAGAGTTCTGAATGATTACAGTTGGTCTGTATATACTGACAATCTGGCGCGCATTCGCCTGACAATATACGTATGATCAATCACTTACGAGACGCGCAGCTAATGCGCTAAGAATCTGATGGACGATCACACAGCAAGATGAGTCTGAAGCAGATCCAGGCCAAATGCTGTTGAGAAATCACCACAGATTCGTAAACCGGATTTGGACAGCTGTCTTTTTGCACGATGGACCAATACTGCTCTGAATCTGCTGTCCGGATTTGAAAGAGACAAGGACCATATATGGGTCAGATTTACATTGAATATTACCAAGTTTGGCTTGTATTTGCACCAGAGTCAAAAGTTAAATTCAGTTCTGTTCCAAATAGGGGCAATGAGTGGCTCTGTGTGCGAAGTCTCTGTGCCTGTGATCTGAAGATCGCTGGTTCAAGCCCTGGCTTCAGCAGAAGGCTCTGCACCTTAGCTGACTGTGCACTATGACCCCACCACCACCCCTCCAAGCTATGGAGTCAGTGAAGAGTAGCATTCTAATGTACTTGTGCAAAGAAGGCAAATCTGTTAAATGTGGCTCAGACTCATTTTTTCCAGACTGACTGCTGACCAGTTTGCCCCCAGGATTCTGCCATTGCATATGGAATACATTTGGATAGGTTTGGGGCCCAAAATCACACTTTCTTCAGGCCCAAAATCTATAGTCTGAGTGATGAAATTATGAGTGGGGTTAGATTCTGTGCCTGTGACTGATTGGCCGCCAGTTTGAATCCCATAGGCAGCAAAGTAATCACATCATTGTTGGTCCCTTGAGCAAAGCCTTTAACTCCAAACAACTGTTCTGGTTGGGCTGGGAAAATGGCTGAGCCTACACTACCCCTTTGCTCTCACCTTTATTTGCAAGAGCAAGAAAAGATACGTGAAGATGTAATTTTGTTGTGCTTTACAATGACAATAAAAGGCATTCTATTCTGGTTCTAGAACAGAAAGAAAACACCAGCATTAGCATTCCTGTTACCAGCTGGGCTCAACCCAATGTAAAATAGTCTTATTGGGTTTTTCTAGACCAAACTACACAGAAATAGATTGTCAAATATTTATTTATTCTGCATTGAAACATGGGCTTGAGTCCGATGACACAAAATCACAGCTCAAGAAATAGTTCTTGTTCTGGTCATATTGGGATATATATTCTGGCACACAGCAGTCAACGGGAGATTCTCATACTAGTATGAAGTTATCAAAATCATGGACGAAATGTCTGTACAGAAACCTAAATAGCAGATTTCTTTACAATAATCATTATAAAAATGTAGAATAATCATCAAAATGTAAATATAATTAATGTCAAATGCAAACTAGAGGAATATCAATTTTACAAGGATTTTTTTCCCTAAAATGTACACATTGAACAATCTCAACAGATACAACAAGCATAATAACCACGAAAGCTGTAATTTAGTCAATTATATCAACTTCTTTAACAGTAAATGCTATGTTCTGAGTGTTGTTTGGACATGGGACAGAGCTGCAGCTACAGAATGACCGTAATTCACATTAATATGATATATACTCCATCTCAGTCGCGAATCATTCACTCAGAACATAAATCACACGAGAAATGCTTATGCTGAAAAAAGGAAACTACTGGAGAATCAATCAATGGCAAACAGAGTTCTGTGAAATGATACTTAATCACGAATATAAAGCATGCTTGTGTTTGCGGCACACTGAATATTAAACAATGGTAATACACAATAATGCATCGAATTTCAGCATAAAGTCAGGATATTTAAGTCACTGTGTTAGCGATATTTCTTAGACACACGAAAGCAGTCGTGATTATTAAATTATTTGCAAAATAAAAAACACCCGGTTTGCAATTCTATAATATAAATTAATAAATGCAGACATCATTCTGTTATTAATATTCAGAGTAATATCACTAATATTACTGTTAAAAATAGCAATATTAGTAAGAAAACTAATTAAGCACTTCCCCATTTCAGGCTATTGTGGTTTTTTAAAAGTACGTTTTAGGCACTGAAATTTCATTCGGACACTGCACTACACACATTCAAGGAGCATTACGCTTCTGCATGTCCAGCTTATATAGTGCTGTATCTCTGGATATTTACTTATTTCATTGTGCATTTCAAGTAGTCAGCGTCTAAAATGTTTCACAGAAAGGAAGGCCATGGAGTTACACATACAAAATCCCTCAGTCTTGTCCAGACACAGTGAGCATTCTGACATTAAATAAAAGTAAAATCCCTGCACAGAGATCTGACGCGCAGCCTTATCCCAGCTGGTCCTCATACTGCTTCCGGAAGCAGTCCCCAGCTGGAAAAAAGTCCCAGCATCGCTCCTGGTACATCTTCCAGACGTAGGACTCCTGAAGGGAGTGAAACCAGGGCCGACATACAGCAACTGTCTCAGTGTGACACAGACGGCGAGTGAAGTGCCCAGTGCAAGAGCCTTTTTTAATATTTAGTTAGGCTGGTGGGCTTTGCCTTCAATTTGGTACCCAGTCAGACAATTATGTAAGCAGATTTACACATCCATGCAATAATGACTATTACCAATTATTTAAGTGACTAATTTGCAGCATGCCTGTTTTTTTTCTCAATTTCAAATCTTTAAAGCCATTATGGAGTGAGATTTTTTTTTTGTTAATAATTGCCCTCAAATTTTACTAGTGTTAACCACCAAATTATAAATAGAACAACAGAAGCAATAATTAAAACTGACAAAGGTAAGAATCCAGTATGAATTTCTTGTCAACATCAGACAAATGTTACTGTAGTACTATAGGGAAAATAAGGTGGGTACCATATATTAGAGCAATTCTAGATACTGACCTGTCCCGTGTGCTCCGTTTCATCCTTGTTTATTAAATACATCAAAAAGAACCTTTAAAGAGAAAGAATGGCATGTTACCATGTCAGAAGTCTAAAGTGGTGCCTAATTGTGCCATTGAATATGATTACATACTGTAACCAAAGCCCTGTCACCTCACACCCCCAGGGTACGGAGTTTGAATCCTGCCCCAGGTATGTGTGGACAGAGTTTGCCCGTTTCCCCTGGGTGCTGCTTTTCATCCCAGTCATGCAGGTAGTCCAACATTAGGCATTAATCACCAGCTAATTTTTAATAATTGCCCTGCTGACCAATTGATTTTCAGCTTCTTATTCAGTGACCCATATACAATGTAGACTTTAAAAAAGCCATCTGGACATTACTCGGATGTAATGCTCATGCACGAAAAATGCTGCACGTATTTCATGCTGTAATTGTTACTCAGTCACTCACATGTAATTGGCCAGATTGTGCTCTTCCAAGGTGTGCGTCTCGAAACCGTGCGGAGTGGTGTCAAAATAATCACTCCCAATTCCACAAATAAAGCACTTGGTCTGCAAAAAAACACAACACACGAAATTGGTCTGTACACACACACTCTTGTGCCTTCAGTTGTAATGGGATACATTTGAAAAGCGCAGACAATCTGTTTCAAGAAATAACGTTTTTTAGTTTTACACAAAAATTCTCATATTTTGCTGTACTGTATATGCAGATCATAAGGTAAAGCTAATCACTAAACGTCATAACATGCTGTACTGCATATGTAGATCTTAAGGTAAAGTTAATCACTAAACCTCATAACATGCTGTATATGTGGATCATAAGGTAAAGTTAATCACTAAACCTCATAACGTGCTGTATATGTAGATCATAAGGTAAAGTTAATCACTAAACCTCATAACATGCTGTATATGTAGATCATAAGGTAAAGTTAATCACTAAACCTCCATGTCCTCCTTCACTTGCTCCTGTTGATCTCTTAACTCCCCAAAGGCATCAATGATTAAACCTTTAAAACGCAAAAAATAAGTCATCATGTTATCTGAAATATTGAAATGCCCATACCTAGTTTTACTCACCATATATGGCATATATAACTTTGACTCTTTCTGTAAATGGAAGGTTATCGGACCCTTTGCCATACATCGGACCGCTCAACCAACAAAACTGTAATTAAAGCCCTCCTGAGGATTTAACAAGCTTTTTCTCATTTCAGTTTTTGAATGGGTTCGACCGTATAATAAAAGTACACCTTGAAAAGATGTTCCCAAAGTGTGGGTGTGTGTATATGTGTATATATATATGTGTGTGTGTGTGTGTGTGTGTGTGTGTGTGTGTGTGTGTGTGTGTGTGTGTGT